CTCCTCTCCTTCCCTCCCTCCATCCTCTCTCTCTCTCTCTCTCTCTCTCTCTTTCGTATCAAAACTAATATTCCCTGCGCAAACACCACTTCTACTATATGTGTCAACAGAGTGCCCATACAGTGAGTACCAAAAAAGTATCTGTGATCCAAAATCCAGTAAAACAGCATATATCAGGGGCGGATTGAGACTGTCAGAAAATATCTCTGGATCCGCCCCTGTATATCTATCTTTATGTATCAATACAGCTGTTCCTCCACACCTGCCAACTCTACAATGATCCAGTTTACCCACAGGTCTACTGTACATAATTGTGGTCTTCTTAGGATCCTTCTTAAGCCTGTTGAAAAGAGACCACAATAAAGGATATACTGCCAGTATTTAAAGGTGTGTTTCTGTTGAAGATAGGCTGCCCCTTTTTTCATGTGATCCTTTCTGTCTGATATGGTTAAGGTAAACGTAGAAACCTAATAAAATCCTCCGTATGGCTTTTGGGTACTATGGCAAGCTCTTTCTGAAACCGGCCCCAGTTTTTATGATAGCTGAACTTACTAGTATTTCAGCCTGTGTTTCAAAATCTGATGGATACTGATATATCCATCATAAGCAAGGTTATTGCCACTTTTAAATCACAGTATATGCTGGGGTTGACTGCAGTTATTGTTAGTATTTTGAAACCCTGATTGTCTGATATATACAGTAAAAACATTTCATCAACTCTACTTAAAAAAACTGTACTAATTAAAATCTTACAAATCTCCATGGATGGCACTTTCACTTTATATTGGCTATCTTCTGTACTTTTTTTCCTTCTTTTCCCTCAGTTCTCCCACTACTTTTCTTCCACAAAAAAATCTCTGGCAATGAACAGAGATGATTGTAGCCAAGGAGTAAGTATTTTGAAATATTAAGAAGTTTCAAATTCGTTTTCTTACTGAGACAGGCCATTAAGGGTCCAAATACTTCAATAATGAAAATCTAAAAAAACAAAATGACTTTCTGAAACAGAAATAGGGAAGCCAAAAGAAGGCTAAACAGTTGTTAGGCTAATGCTCTAGTGTAGTCTCTTAAACATGCAATCTCATCTCATTTATAGTTTACTGACACAGGCTGTAAAACATGCAATTTCAGCTGACTATATATATAGTGTCCCCAGTGATTGTAATATCTCCAGGTGCTGTGAACACAGGTAAAAACATTTGCCAAACTGGCACAATGGCAACGGCAGGGGGGGAGCATTGAGGCGTAGACAAATTAATGGGATTCACCCGACAAATGGAAGATGCAGGAACACTCTTCTGATGCGATATTGATTTAAGGGTCGCACACCTTGTATGTAATGTTAGCAGGTGCAATAAGTGCTTAATGTCGTCTGCCTGAATTTAAATTGGCTTGTGAGTTGTTTTGTGGTAAATGAAATGAGACAGATAGGGAAAAATTATTTCTTTACAATGACATCCCCTATTCACTATAGGTTTCCTTTTGTATAGATTTTTTTTTCTTTCTTTTTATCGGCACTGAAGTGTTGCCCCCGTCTTCCCACTTCTTGTATGAGATGTTTGAGGTAAACAGGTGAAAAAACACAAAACTTCCATTTACGCTAACAATGATATTGATATCTCTATTTATATATCTGATTTCATACCACACTGGCTAAATAAAATTTACTTGCAAACTGGGGAAGGGAATGGAGACATATATGAGGATAAGAAATGAATACATTTGCAATAATTTACTCTGAATTAATGTTTTTGTTTTAGAAAACCATAGCCCATGGGTACTTGTATGATTTAAAATTACTGGTATGACACTGAGATCTGTTGGTCTCTCCTGTAACAACTTAAAATGCTTGAATAAATTTGTATAAAAAACACTTTATATTTGTATTCCTATTACAAACCCATATTATCAAATCATAACAAACAGCTAAAACAGTTCTATTGAAGGTTTAATTTTATCAATTTTCTTATTTTTCTAGTGACAATGTGAGCTGGAGTCTGTTCTTTGAGCTTTTAACATACTGCCCTTTCATCTTCTTGTTGTCTTTCCGTCTGCTTTGGGGTCAACTTGGTGACATATGATACTGGACCACCTGCTTCCCTGTGCCTGTAGTATTCAATGTTCAGAGGAGACAGGCACTCTGAACTTTTAAATACTGTGTGTTTACAAGGGCACTGAAAAGCTGATATTTTTGGTCTATTCCTGCACCTTCGTAACATGCATTGTTAAAATGTCTTCATTTTTTCCACAAACTGTGGGTGCAATAATAGATTAAAAATTCATGAATTGATTATATTAGTGTACCTCACTAAAGGCATGAATTAACTGACAGAACATTTTCAGTCTTTTAGAATTACACAAAACTGCACAACATCTGCAGCTTTTATATATGATAAAACCTTTTTTTAATTTATACTAGCGGTATATATACTAGTATATATATTGTATGCAGTAACATAAAATAGTTAATTATTTCTTACTAACAAAATATCAATTGAATGAGGAGACTAGTCCACAACATTTGTTATAATTGAAATCCATTCACTGTGATGACAGCTAGTAGTCTGCAACTTAAATTGATTTTTAGGAAAAGGTTTATTTGACTGGGAGTTAATGTTTACGGAGGTCAGAGGTCAACAAGTATGGAAGTGCTTAGTGGTGAACATCTGCTCATTCAGGTGCAAAATTCCCTTTCCAGCAGAAGGTCACCAGATGTTTCAGGAAGCTCAGCAGACGACCTGATCTGTGCAACATGCCCTCCCTGAACTGAACAAGGGCAGCCCCATACAGATATTCACAGATGCTGACAGTTTTTTTTTTTTTTAAATATACAGACATCACAAACACATACATAGATGTCTAGGGAAAAAGGTAACAAAACTTTCCCACAGGAACAGAAAAATTTTTGCTAAAAATCACTGGGGTGTCTTCGAAAATGTTCAATGCCTGCATGTATGTGTGCATTTAGTTTTGCACAAAACTTTCCCTAAGCATCCAAAAACAACTGTCTTCACTCAGTAACAATTTAATTAATTATACTGCTGCTGCTTCATGTTTGTCACTTAGATGTCACTGCAAAGTGACACAGCATCCACTTAAGCTAAAGAAACAAATGTTTTTCACATCCACTATGGCGCCTTACCATTTTCCAAGTCATGAATCTACTATATTTATTACCACTGTCATAAAAGCACCCCACTCCCAGTGCACTACCAAAGGATTTGAGGCTTGTTTATTAATAAGATTTAAGTTAATCTTTTTATAATATTCTGAGAGTGTTTGACATCTGATTATCCCATACATTAAATATAGGTGATATACCTGAAGGGGCAGACAATCACAATTGGCCCAAAAGACACAGCTGGAAACTTAACTGATTCTTCTGGGACATAAAACTTTGCTAAGACCTATCACTGTTTTACTTCAATAGTAATTTCGTACAACAAGCCACTGAGCAAAGACAAAGCACAGATCAACAGATTACACTACACTAACCTCTAAAATATTGCAATAAGGAGATAAGGTAAGCATATTCACTTGAGTGAAACAAGGTGGGGGGGCAAGTGAATTTGTACAAATCTTTTTTTCTTTTTGTCAACCAATTATTGTGCGCGTCTGATTCAATAATTGAAAATAGCACCTATAAAGCACCTGTTAATATCATGTTTATCTTTTCAAGAAATGATTTCAATACATCCATAAGGTAAATGGGTCTATAGATCTATCTCTTCCCAGGGATCCTTTCATTGAGTTAACTCCTGTCTCTGACCTTCGAACCTTCATGTCTACCTTTGTGACTAAAACCTGGGCAAACATAGCACCCAGAGCACCTGTTCCCTCATTTAGTCAAAGCTATTTTTTTAATACCAGAAATAATACTCCCTAACCCCCTCCCCTTCTCTCAGCAACATGATTACATCCTTTCAGTATTAACCAGGAACAACCACTGCATTTACATATATCAACTTCTGCACTTCAAAGCCAGGCAAAAAACAAAAGGCAAAAGCACCTGCTAACATGTCAGAACCGCATTAAGGCAGTTAGCCCTGGTCACGGCTGAACAACCAACATGGACACATTCTTCTTATTCTAATGTACGAGTGACTGCGATGAATAAAGTTGTGCGCTGAAATCAATTTTACCTGGGAAAGGAGCTGAATTGAACTGCTAACTGCACCTGGGTGGCAGAATCTGGTAATTCAACAGAAATTTCGAACACCTCATTTCTTCTAACATCTTATTTTTATGTGGATTTTTATATCAATTTCCTCATGAACACCTCATTTCTTCTAACATCTTATTTTCATGTGAATTTTGATATTAATTTCCTCACAAACACACCATTTTTTGACAAGGCCCTGGACTATTTAAAAAATGTTTAGAATCAAAAGTAAAGTTAATAAAAAGAAGACAGGTTGACTCACGTTAACTAGTCAGTCATGTGATCAAGGCCCTCTAATGAATGATGGAAAGATCATGCAGGGGCGGACGGAAGCAGTCTTCTGGGTCTTCCAGAAGACTGTCAGAATTTTTCAAGTTTACATTGACAGGCATCTAATTTTTTCTGTAGAAAGTGATCAAAAATGGAGGATGGATCAACAAAGATTTGGAAGACTACCAGAAACTATCTCTGGATCTGCCCCTGTCATATGCATACTATAAGAGGCAGAACCATAAGTCTCTTCAAAAATAAATTAATTTTTACATCACTGAATAGTCATTTTGGGAAATATAATTTTACAACGCTGTTTGAATTTTGTGAATAATTACTGTACTTGGCAAACAGACTGAGTACTGGGAATCTGATGTTCAAACCTAGGTGGTCAAAGAAGATGGGGTTTTAGCCAATCCCACACTTCCTATTTTCGGTGTTATTCTAATTAGTCTTAATTCATTAATTTCGTATTATTTTGCATTTATTATACATTTACCTGGACTCTCAGTCTTTCACAACTGCCCCCCCCCTTACTCGCCATCATTCTTACCCCTCACACACTTACCCGAGCTGCATCCCCTGGCAACTTGAAAAACATGTCATCTGGAGCCACTTCTAGTTGCTGAAATCTCTCATACTGCTCTGTAAACCAGCCATGGCACTTCATACACACAATACCACTACCACCCTCCTCCACCAGGAGAGTCTCAGGGGAGGTTGGCATCGATTTCAAAATGGGGAACTTTCTAGAAGAGAGTCTCCGGAACTGACTTCTCTGGATTTTCCTCCGACAGGCAAAACAGTTAATTTCTTCAGTTTTGTAAGATCTAAGCCAGCGATTCGGTGGAGCTTCCATTGCCTCGTAAACTGACCATTGTTTTTGCAAGGAATGGTAACAAAACCAACAGGCATCAACTTGGCCATCTTTGCTCATGGCTTGGCAGTTCCTGCTTGGTTCTCTGCTACTAAGAAATGGAAAGAATGCTTCCCTGGAATCCTCAGAAGCATAGGCATGCAATTTGTATACCTTGGAATGGCAACTATGACCACAGACAAAACAGAATTTCTCCTCACAATGACTTTCAGAAGGCACTCTGATTTTCTGTTGACTCTGAAATCCATTTTCTTTGGTGTATGTTACTTCAGCACTAAGAGACCTTGACACCACTGGGTCACTGACCCCTGACCTTTGAAGGTCAGGGCTCGAATATGCATGTTGAGCATCTAGTGTAGGGGCACTGGCAGAGCTGCTGAGACTTGATGATGGAGATCGAGGATGAGGAGTGAGGGCAGTTGGGGCAATAGCTAAGAGACCTTGTGACCTAGTACGCTGTTTGTCCAAATGTGACTCCTCCCTGATTTCAATATTCAAAGGTTTACACAACTTTGGGTCAATGGCATTTGACCTTGGTTGTTGGTTCTCTTGTTTAACTCTTACTGTGTCAGAGGTAACGGATGTGGTAGCAGAAAGAGAATATTTCCTCTCACTAAGGGAAACTCCTTCACTTTCATAAGCTTCCCACTGTTGCTTCAATGCCAGGAAACATGTGCGACATGCAAGCACACGCCCCTTTGCATCAACTGGCCTTGCTTGCCTATTAGGTTGAACCTTTGCTATGAAAGGAAAATGCATGTGATATTTCTCTTCAGATGGGTGCACACTGAGCCGTTTCAGTGTTGTCAAATCCTGGACACTACCACACAAATAGCATACTTCACTGGCAGAGGCTCCATATGTTGATAAAACCTGAGACGACTGCAAGGGGTAATTCTTGTCACCAGGTAATCTATATTCCCGTGATTCTTCTGGCATCCTTGTGTACTCGTAGTACCGCCACTGAGACAGCAAATTCTCAAAACACGTATTACAGACTTTGGTCCTCCCATAGGGGTCAAGAGGAAGAGCGCCCTCTACAGGGGACGTTTTCTCCAGGAATGGAAAAGTCGGTTCCATTCTAGTACTATACTGTTTAGAGCAAATAACATGAGATTTACCATCAGTAATTCCAATCCCACAGGTGTAACATCTCATGCCTTTTCCAGCATCAAACTTGGTCGAAGACTTGCTGCTTGACCTCTTCAAAGGTTGGCTATTCTTTGGCATCAGGGATTCAGGTTTTTTACTAGGAGGTTGAGAGGACAAATCTAATGCATCGCTGGTTTTCTCTTCATTGATGAAAGCTGGGGGTACTGGGTACCCAGGGGGTTTATGCCCCTGGGGCATCGCTGGTGGGGTGGGTTGGCTATACTGCACCCCCACCCCCTCTTCATACCCCATATTGGCTGCCAATCCCTGGGGGTGGTAGGCCAAACCCATCAACTGTGCAGCATACTCCCCCTGGAGCTGCATCTCAGCCCCAGTGAAATGGCCGTTGTCCATTCTCTTCAGCCAGTACAGGCGTTTGATAGATGGAGTGCGAGACTTCTCGTAGTTTTTCCATTGTTGTATTAGGAATGAGTAGCAGATGAAACATGCATCCACCTCCCCTTGAGGTCCTGGCCGCGTGGAGCCTTTGGGTGGATCATGGTTCTCCAGGAATGGGAAAAACGGCTCCTGATTGTGGGGCTTGGTGTACAGTATATAGGTGGCGTAGGGGGTGCTGCAAACAAAGCAAATTTTTTTGGTCGGTCTGGTCATGTCTGCTGGTTAGGGATGTTTACTTCATTCACTCTAGTGTTCCNTGGCATTTGACCTTGGTTGTTGGTTCTCTTGTTTAACTCTTACTGTGTCAGAGGTAACGGATGTGGTAGCAGAAAGAGAATATTTCCTCTCACTAAGGGAAACTCCTTCACTTTCATAAGCTTCCCACTGTTGCTTCAATGCCAGGAAACATGTGCGACATGCAAGCACACGCCCCTTTGCATCAACTGGCCTTGCTTGCCTATTAGGTTGAACCTTTGCTATGAAAGGAAAATGCATGTGATATTTCTCTTCAGATGGGTGCACACTGAGCCGTTTCAGTGTTGTCAAATCCTGGACACTACCACACAAATAGCATACTTCACTGGCAGAGGCTCGATATGTTGATAAAACCTGAGATGACTGCAAGGGGTAATTCTTGTCACCAGGTAATCTATATTCCCGTGATTCTTCTGGCATCCTTGTGTACTCATAGTACCGCCACTGAGACAGCAAATTCTCAAAACACGTATTACAGACTTTGGTCCTCCCATAGGGGTCAAGAGGAAGAGCGCCCTCTACAGGGGACGTTTTCTCCAGGAATGGAAAAGTCGGTTCCATTCTAGTACTATACTGTTTAGAGCAAATAACATGAGATTTACCATCAGTAATTCCAATCCCACAGGTGTAACATCTCATGCCTTTTCCAGCATCAAACTTGGTCGAAGACTTGCTGCTTGACCTCTTCAAAGGTTGGCTATTCTTTGGCATCAGGGATTCAGGTTTTTTACTAGGAGGTTGAGAGGACAAATCTAATGCATCGCTGGTTTTCTCTTCATTGATGAAAGCTGGGGGTACTGGGTACCCAGGGGGTTTATGCCCCTGGGGAATCGCTGGTGGGGTGGGTTGGCTATACTGCACCCCCACCCCCTCTTCATACCCCATATTGGCTGCCAATCCCTGGGGGTGGTAGGCCAAACCCATCAACTGTGCAGCATACTCCCCCTGGAGCTGCATCTCAGCCCCAGTGAAATGGCCGTTGTCCATTCTCTTCAGCCAGTACAGGCGTTTGATAGATGGAGTGCGAGACTTCTCGTAGTTTTTCCATTGTTGTATTAGGAATGAGTAGCAGATGAAACATGCATCCACCTCCCCTTGAGGTCCTGGCCGCGTGGAGCCCTTGGGTGGATCATGGTTCTCCAGGAATGGGAAAAACGGCTCCTGATTGTGGGGCTTGGTGTACAGTATATAGGTGGCGTAGGGGGTGCTGCAAACGAAGCAAATTTTTTTGGTCGGTCTGGTCATGTCTGCTGGTTAGGGATGTTTACTTCATTCACTCTAGTGTTCCAAGTATGATTCCAACAACAGTTTTGGTATTCGTCAGGATCTGTGATACTGCATGTGTTTTACAAGGGAACTGAAAACAGAGATAAAAATTTCAGTTGAATTATCTTATAAAGATAAATTTTATACCCATTATATTTTGCAGTTATAAGCGAATATAAATATAAACCTCATTTACAAAAATTACACATATTTTAGAAAATCATAACAAAAAAAAAACAAGCCCAAATAAACTGAGACAGTGGCTCTTAAATGTGCGAATCTCACAAGTTCAGGTTTTCTTTTCCAGCACCCCATATTCATTGTTAAATCTATTCACAAACAGAGTTATAGAAGAAGCCATCAGGATAATGCAGCAACTTTGCATGCTTGAAACAGTGCCATGATAGATGGATGCAAGGATGTGGCTAGAGTCAATTAACCAGCCATTGTGCTGATGAGCAGGCAGATTTCCCAAACCTCATCTCAATCAGTATTACAAGTATAATCACTTAGTTTCTCACCTGATGTATACAGTACTACTACATTTATGAACATGAGAGGTGAAAGGAAAATTGCGAGGGTACAGCCGTGAATTTGGGCAAAAATTGGAGATCATTAATTCTCACATTAAACTTTATCACCACATTTAAGACTCTAGCAGAACACAGTAACTATCGTTTTAAAAATAATTAGTGACAATGTAAAACTAAGAGGTTAATTTTACAAGTTTAGTGAAATGATCAAGTCTGCACAGCTGCCTTTATATGGGACATATACCAGCTTGATTTTAAATATCAGCAATATTATCAATAAAATTAACTTTTGATAATGTTCTACAACAATATTCAGAATAATTATGTAGCTCTTTAACCCTAACTTGAATATGACATTCATATTTATTATAGCAGGCCATCTGTTGATTCTGGTTCACATGTAATTTTTTATAAGCAATAAGTATCCTAACTTCAACAATAACAATTAGCATACACACCGTTCCATGGGCACATATCCTCTCCGTTATACGGAAAATCAAGTAATATCTTATAATGATTCCCCAAAAACCTCCCTTTACTTATAATTCTACATCAAAACTCAAAAACGCTGAAACATTACCAATCGATGTCACTCAGTGCCAATGTTAATGCGAATGACACGGCCTTGGCTACTTGGTAAATGTCAATGAATGGGGATATCAAGTTTACAACGGGACGAGGAGCTCTACGATTTCACCACCTACCCAGTCCGTTTAACGAGCGTTCATTACATGTTTCATAACACCTAACGTTGAGAAAAGCATACTTACTTATCATGCAGCAGTTTGTAAGACGCTGTGAGGTTGCTAGAGATGTCAAATCAAGGGAATTCCCGCAACCACTTGCTGCTTTGACCCGCCATGTTTAGCATCTGGTCAACAATTCCCACAATGCTTTGACCTCTGAACTTTTTGCTGAGATTTACTGACTTTCTTGGGGAGAGACCTGCGCATTATTTTTTCTCACCTGAACTAGTGCTTTAAATTATATAATTTTAATTTCTAATAGACAAAGATTTCCCCCTTTTTAAGAACGTCAAAGGAACCATATAAGACATTGACGATTAAAGCTTATTTTGTAAAGTTTTAATCAAAAGCAACGTTTAAATGCGGTGGACATTTGAACATAAAATTTAATAACATACCTTATTCAGCCAGAATTATATCTATCTAATATGAATTCAGATCTCTCTTCACACAAGGTGTACAGTTGACGTTCGTACTGACGTCCGTAAGTTCACTAATATGCATAAGTGGTTTTTAACCACTGTCTGAGCTTTTCTTGCGCGCGGTAACCATGGAAACAACAGACACCTGTTCCACCTGCTCATCACTTTGTGCTGGTAGGTATGCGAACGGACGTACTACTTATTATAGTACTTTTAACATACAATCAGTTACCTTATATCTTGTCTGGGTTTCTTTTGGGGAGAGGCGTAGGATGCAGCTATTTGGTCCACTTTTTTATTGTTATAGATATGAAAGTGTCAGTGCATTACTGATCTTCAAGGGGAAGCAAAACACAATTAACCAAATTATTTCTGGAACGCAGCAACAGTCAAATTGATTCCCCTTTTTCATATCATGAAAAATTAGTTTTATTTCTTTTTTAAATTTTGGTTTGCATTTTGGACACGTGTATAATATCACAAGCATCCACATACAGTGTATAAAGTGACTTGTGAAAGTACATACAAAGTAGAAGCAAGAAGGTTTAAATAGATTAAAAAGAAATATCCTCATCCATCCCATCCCGTCTGATATCTAAATGATCACAGAAAAATGACAGTGGGTCATTATATGTACTTCCCTGGGCAGGGAAATGTCTCTCCTTGTTTCTTATTGGGACCAGGTGTAAGGGCTGTCTAGAGTAAAAGCTGACAGGTGCAAAGTAAATACCTGTGCCATAATCTCTGGTGACATATGGACAGAAGGAAAAAGCTGATATTTTTCCAACTATTCTGTTGATCCAGCAAAATGGAAGCAATACCACTTTACCATTATCTTATAAAAATTTTTGAAAATTTAAATTTGGAATTTCCATTTTCACCTTTTCAACTACTTATTTATGTCTGCCTCAGCAAAGGTTAATAGAGAAAAGTCATTAGCAGAAAACTTCTTGAATCTTGAATATCATATTTGCTGAAGTTGCCCCTTAATGCCCACATTTTAAAGATTAATTGATATTTCAGAATTTAGTTTTGGAGTAACAAGTTCAATAAACATGTCATGCCACTATGAGCATGATGCAAAGTTTATTGTTTTAAAGATACTTATAAAATTAACATGTTGTAAAGGCATATTTACTATCTATAATTCTTTTGGGTTGTCAAACACAAAGCTGTTTATTATTACTTTACAAAACAAATATAAATAAATTCTGTCTTTAATTTACGCAACCACATCCTTTCAGCAAAGTTGATAGGTGCTCTGTTCTCATGCCACTGCTCCTTGGTGATAGAGAAATTGATTACATGCTATCTACCACTTATTCCACTTATTTTATAGATAACACACCTGTTCTTTCCGGTCATGACCTTTGACACAGTTTTAAGTTTAAACAGCACCTGGTTCAGGTAACACTTCCTTTCACAAAATTTGAATTTACCTGCCATTTTTATGTTGTCTTTCAGTAATTAACAACTTATAAGGTAAACATCCCCTTTCTTACCCTCTACGAGGGCCACTAGACACGTGTCTATTGCTTCTTATTTGCAGTTTTATGTTCTGTTATGTTCACCTCCTGAGACAGCTGAGAATTGCATCATGACATAGACAAAGGCACATGTATGAATATCTAGTGAAAAAATCAATCTGTGGCCCTGGTAGAAGGTAACCTAATCTGCCGCTTACTTTTTTTTTTCCAAGGAGCAATCTATGCACTGATCTTGTAAAGATGTTTGCAGCTGCATTCTATATAAGCACCATTGTACTAGTATATTGAAAAAGAAAAGCACACATTAAGATATTTGATTTCATTGGGTGATATTATCGTTATTTATGAAAAAGATTTCTTATAAATTGTATTTGCACCATATTTTATTTACATGTAGTCTGACTTACTCAGTTCCGCAATACACTGGTCAAATGTGGCTCACGGTTTAGTTATTCTTTTACAATGATGAACAACATGATGGTCTTTAACAGCATTTTTATCAAATCATTTAATGTATTTTCTGAGTATATTGCACCAAAGCTTGTAGGTTGAAACATCATTTTTGATCACGCTTAGAATAAATTACTGACTATCCTCTCATTGTATGGTTTTAAGTAAAAATGTGGCTGAAAATCCATGTGGAATCCACATACTTGACACTAGTTGTGTCAAACTCAGTCAAGCACTTAGATACTCACTGCTGAAGTTCCTACAGTAGTCACATCCTTAGTTTATTATAACACATAGTCAAGTCAACGCTTCGGTATTGATCCACATTTCTAGTTTTACAACCTTCATTTTTCATTAACACGGATCAATATTTCCATATTTGTAATCTCCACTTTTTCTTATCCCAGCTGCTTTCTACACCACACTTCTGGGTTAAAACATGCCATTTTCATTGTTACCTGCTGTCCTTCACTTGTGTCATATATTTTGGCTTATTGGAATGGACCTTCCTTTGCCCTTTTAAAGTTCAGACTTTATAGTGAATTTACAATGAAGATATGTCAGCCCTTCTTGTTGTATTACATTTCTCTGTAGGTTGACCGATTCAAGTAGAAGGTCAAAGCCACGAGAGGTAATCCTGCTTGCAATCCAGCATCATAGAATTTTAGAGAAAAAAGAAGTACTAATTGTACTAGATATCTGCTGGTTATGACCAGCTTGGCTTAACCAGACAGCCAACAAAGAAGAATCATACTGAAAACGGTCAACTATCATCAATGTATGCACACTTCCTTTACCATCGGCAGACAAAACTGCTTTCAAATCTCCATTTGTCGTATTGGATAAATATTTGAAGTACACCATTACTTCAGCTCCCCTTTCAACAAAAGAAGCAAGCATATACTGTTTCACGTCTTGTTTACATACATTCAGGAATAATTGTTCTTTAAGCATCTGCTGGGGTCAGGTTATAGTCCTAAGCCACCTCCTGACCACTCCAATCTCTGGAAAACAAAACAGAATATATCTTTATTTTCTTTATCTATAATTCAAATGTGGTTCTGACACAGTAACATATTTAACACTAAATTCAACCTGTATATTTATCTTCACAAATAAAAAAAAATGAAACAATATATAAAAAATTTAAAACTTTAAATGGTCTTCAAACAATAAAATTTCGTAATATTTAGATTTTCAGCTGATACAGTAACATTAACATGGGCTGATAAATATTAGATTCATTTCCATCATTCAACCATATGCAACAGAACTCTCAGCTTCTAATTGTCATATTCTGCACATTTTTAAATTCAATTTTTTTTATCATTTTATTTACTCTAAAAGAAACTGACTTAATCCTACTTACATTTCAAAAAGCTTCTACTCAAATTGTTTTTGGGGATATATATGTCAGTTAAAATATTTGGCTGAATTTAGTTGAGAAGTAACTGTAAATGTACTTACTTTTGGTGTTTCTACAAAAGCCAGCCAGTCAGATGCATGTGTTGGTAATAGGCCCATCCCATGACATTTATACATTGCAAGCAGCAAGATTAAAAAGTTTCCAAGAATCCAAACAAATTTTTGAAACAAAGCTTGGCCTCCTTCTATCATTCTGAAAGCTGAAATAGCAAAAATATATAAATAAATTATATAGGACTTAAGAACGAAGTACTTCACATAATCACATTAGTAATTATTGTCACTTATACACTATTTATTTTTTACCACAGAAACTCTGAATAATACTGAATAAGCTTCAACTAAAATCATCATTCATCTCAAACAAGTTAGTCTTATGGAACATAAAATTTACAAGTACATTAAACCTAACCAAATCACTGAAACAAAATTTCTAATCCCAAAGTGTCATAATAAGTCCTGTGGAGCCTACTTTATATAATAAATATAATTAATATAAGATGTCTGTGACAAAGTTTTTAAAGTAAATGTTAAAGCCATAAATAAAAAACAAATAATGTTCCAAGTGTTTTTATAGTACAATTATTACTCTGATCTCAAAATTATTCAATTTCAAAACCTCATGGCTCATCTGCCTTATAAGTGAATTGTGCTTACTGATGAAGCAGAAAAAAAGATACCCCTAAATGGAAAGCTTTAGTCGCATTTGTACAGTTTCAGCATCAACATAAGGGAATAGATATGAATGCACCTGCACACACACACACACACACACACACACACACACACACCTACCTGACTGATAAGCAATCATTGCCTGGATCGGCCTAAATAAAGACATCCCCACCATCATGATAGGAAATATAGAGATAGTATTGCCAGCCATCCACATGATAAACAAGTTCATGGGAATCTGTTTGATGGGGCCAAGTGCTATGTCCCAAGACCTCTGCAATACATATGTTAAATTTATAAAATAAGTGTGAAACATTTAATACGATAAGTGAAAATAAAGAATAGGTACCATTTTCTACAAAATGTATGATTTCTTTAATATTTAAAAGAAATAAGAAAGTTTAAATTTAAAACCTGATTGATACTGCAGTAAGCCAAGTAAATCTCACCTTCATTATGAGAGCTTCATCTCCTTCCTTTCTCTCTTTCCCAATGAGAGCTTTTCCTGATTCTGGAGAGTACCCAGGAGGGGATACTAGATTCACAGCTGCTTTATCACTTTTAGTTCTGAAACAAAAAAAGAAAAACTTGTACATTTATCTTATTTATTGCCTGGTTTCAATCTGGTTGAGAGAGACCTTTTAGTAAGACAAATGACTTCTTTTTTCTCCTTATGTTCTATTCCTTGACTCCAAAACTTTGCTCAATGACAAATTCGCAGAAATATAGAGAGAAGTTCCATCATTTTTCTATACTGTTGAAACATTATAAATTAGTGTGTCAAGTCTTGCAAAAACACGAAACTCATGCACTCAATTGTAACTGTACCAGTTCTTCTTGAATTTTTAAACATCTTCAGTTACTATTCAACAAATGACTTTTTTTTTTATCCTGTATGAGTGAAAGCAGATAATTCCATGCACTTTCTAGAATAATCTAAACAACTATACTAGAAATTAGAAGTTTTAGAATAATGCCCCCCC